AAGAAAGAAAGAAAGAAAGAAAGAAAGAAAGAAAGAAAGAAAGAAAGAAAGAAAGAAAGAAAGAAAGAAAGGGGGAAGGAGGAGAGAGAGAGAAAGAGAATGAGGGAAGAGAGAGAGAGGGAAAGAGAGGGGAGAGAGAAAGAAAGAGAGAAGGAAAAGACAAGAAAGAAAAGAAAGAAAAGGGAAAGAAAGAAAAAGGAAGAGAAAGGAAGAAAAGGGGTGGGCAAAGAAAGGGGGATGGAAGGAAGGGACAGAAAGAAAGAAAGAAAGAAAGAAAGAAAGAAAGAAAGAAAGAAAGAAAGAAAGAAAGAAAGAAAGAAAGAAAGAAAGAAAGAAAGAGGAAGAGAGGAAAAAGTGAATGAGATATATGGATGGATAGATAAAAATACATCGAAGGAGGGAGGGAGAGAGAAAAAAAAAGGAGAGGAAGGAAGGACACAAACCCTGGCTTCAGAAGACTCTTTGAAGCAGCAGAGCAGTCTAGGGCTGGCCTGCAAAGGAACTCTGAGGTCATCTAGTCCAACCCCTTCCTCCAGCAAATCCTTACAGAATCATAGAATAGCAGGGTTAGAAGTGGGTGTGTGTGTGTATGGCTGTCAAAACTCCAAAAACAGGTCAAGTAGCTCTGGGGATATCAGTCATAAATTAGAACACTTGCTGGCCATTAAGCGAGGACCACTTGTATTTGATTTGCCAGTCACATGATCACCTGGCCATGCCCACCCAGTCACATGGCCACAAAGCCACGCCCATCCGGTCATGCGACCACAAAGCCATACCCACCCGGTCACATGACCACCAAGCCACACACCACAAATTAAGCCATGCCTACAGAACCAGTAGTAAAAATAAAAAATAAAAAAAATTGAATCCCACCACTGGTCTGCACTCACCCTTTTGGCCTTCCAAAAGACCTTGAAGACATGGCTGTGCCAACTAATCTGGACCCCAGTTAGGGTGTGGCACTTGGAAGTGGCTAATGGAGTAGATAGCACCCCTTCTCCTCACTTTTCATCCTGGTTAGTTTTACTTTAATTGAATTTTAAATTTATGTGCCTTATTTATTGTTTTAATGTTTTATAATGTATTTTAATTGAATGTCTGAAAGGTCCCTCAAGTTGCCTATTTATTTAATAGATAAAATAAAATAAAATAAAATAAAATAAAATAAAATAAAATAAAATAAAATAATAAAATAAAATAAAATAAAATAAAATAAAATAAAATAATAAAATAAAATAAAATAAAATAAAATAAAATAAAATAAAATAATAATAAAATAAAATAAAATAAAATAAAATAAAATAAATAAATAAAATAAAATAAAATAAAATAAAATAAAATAAAATAAAATAAAATGTTATGGCCCTACTTCCTATCAAGAGCAATTCTATTCGTTGTGTGCAATGAGACTGTTGTTTTATATTTAACTCCCTCAGTGGAGTTGCTTTACATGTTAATTAGTGGCAAAATTATAGCTATTAAGGTAATTTTCTTAAGATGAATAATCCTTAAAATCAGATGCTAATCATTTTAGCATGGTTTCTGCATAATCAGACCATATACACACCATTCAGCATCTGACAAAGAAGGGTTCTCATAGAGCTCAACAGAATTTATCTCACATATATAGACAGTTTGTAGGTGGTTATACACCCAAAGAAAAGCATTTTTTTTTTTGCACTGTACACACAAAGGAAGCTATCCTTATAGTGTTTACGTAGAGGAAATATTTATTATTATTTATTGAATTTATATTGCCGCCTATTCGTCCATGGCGACTCATGGCAGCTTACAGAATGTAAAACCATATTTAAAATATTTCAAAAAATAAACAGGTATCTGCCTCCCTTAATCTCATTTATTTTGTCTCTTCACTCAATCAAACATGTTTTCTCATTTCCTGGTGTACGCAGATATATATGTACTGAGGAATTTGTGTGATTTATGTTCATTACATATGCAATTCTGAGATAGATTTATACAGCTTCACATACATTCATCTGAATTATTTTGTTATCATCTTTGTCAATTTTCTTTAAAATTAAATAAAATTAATAATTTTAACTTTTTCTTTTAAAAATAGATAATGAACATCAAGAAATTGACAATTGCCATGATCTCAGATTGCTGGAGAATGACAGAAAATCTCCTTCGGTTATAGAATTAATGATGACCACAGTTTATGAGAATACTAAGAAGCAATATAAGTCAACTGAAGTCTTTCTAGAACAAAAAGTCCCAATGTTAAAACCCAGTGTCATTGAAAATAATTCTATTGAGACACCAAAAGATGATCAATCAGAACAGAAAGTAGCATTAACTACTTCAAAATCTATACTGGATAATTCAAAGGATTTTGTAAAGGTAATATTTATGGATCATCATCATGTATTTGTGGCAGGAATCATGATTGCTGATAAAACTTGACATGATTGCTGTACAAAGTAGCATAATGTTAAAGTGTTCATATATGATATACACAATATGTTTAGTTATACATAACGATTACAAGCTTAAACTTGGATCTATGTTGTAATGTTAAGTGACAAAGGTCAGTATTTGTATTTGTTTCTAAAGGAATGATCTTTCTCATGCAAAAATAAGTACTTGAAAAAATAGTAGCATAACAATTATAGGTTATATTTTAAAATATAACTGTATTTGATGAGCACATTACTCCTTTTCTGAGACAAAGTTGATTTCTTCTCATAACATAACGCTTATAATCCCTCTTTATAGCTAGTTTGGAATGTAGCCCAGTTTTGTAGGGCTATTTGAAAAAGGGAAAGAAAATGACATCAAGCAAGGTTGGACCTTGTTAGACTTGATGTATGTGGTGTAAAGGAAATTGTATATCACAACTTTTCCATCTTTTTTTAGGCCTTTAATTTCATACACCAACGTCACAGAATAGGTACTAAATGGGTAATTTGGGTTTTTACTGGCTCATACAACCAATTTGTTTTTGTTATATTAGGAAAAGTGTGAAGAGATAGAGGCAGTTCCACAAAAAGCTAAAATCAGGTAGGAAATTTAATTTTTCCCAAATAACTATTTGGAAATATGAATAATTGTATCTTTTGGGGTTAGGAAACGTTATTATTTATATTCTACAGCTACCAATAATTTGACACACATGCTTTATGAAGTGGCATGATATTAAAATGTTTACAATTTATATTCTGATAAATTACAGACAATATAATTGAATACATGTAATCGGATTTGTGAATTAGATGACTCAAGAGGCAGTACTCATTTTCCAAAGCAATGTTCTGAAATATGTTTTAATTCAGGATTGATATTACTATATTTCCCAGAATCATTGTTTTTGTCGAACAGAACCTATTTAATATTTTTTATTTTAGAATCAGTTCAAACCATTTGATGGAAAGAACAATCCAGGCAGAGTAAAAGGAAGGAATCTTTAAAAATGCATGACACATACACAGGAGGAAAATATTAGGTTTTCCATGAAGCAGCTGTCACCAGTTTCCTTTTACTCTTTTCCTTCCTTCCTTCCTTCCTTCCTTCCTTCCCTTATATTGCTACTCTTACTACATTTTAATCCTTTAAATTTGTTTTATTTGCTTGTCACTGATCATATTTGCTATTAAACTACATGAATAGCTAATATTATATATATAAACATATAATATAAAAATAATATAATTAATCCCACATAAAATTGTTACATTAAAAGATAGTTGTTTTCACTTGTATAGATTAAATGTTCTAATGACAATTTCTAGTTCACAGACATATAATAGTTCTTCAGATAATGTGGAAATGTTGAATTCTATATTTCTTCTTCCATAGAAGTAAGTTTCTGTCATAATGTTCTTCTCAGCTCCTCCTTTCAATAATTAACTGGATGGCAGAGTGAACAGAGTTTTTGCAACTTCTAGCAGCTTCAATCAGAGGACAAGAAGCTTGCCTGCTGAGTTCTATAGACTATATAAAAATATATTAGGGTGGATGTAATATTTTTGTTTCTTGAATTGTGCTCTCAGTATTGCAGTTGTGTTTTTAAGACTGTAATCAGGGGTGGGATTCTACTTGGTCGGTCAGGTTCTATAGAACTGGTTGTTGTGATTTGCCCAGTTCGGAGAACTGGCAATTTGCACCACTGGCTGGCCCCGCCCCTCCCTTCCCACCCACTCACTCCTTACCTGGTATATGCGCGCCATCAAACTTGCCTGCATTTGGTAAGTTGCTATTTTTCCCCCTGACCATCAGCTGTTCTGCTGTGCCAGGAGATTTAGATTAGCTAGAAAGCAGGAAATCGTTAGATTTCTTGCTTTTTAGCTAATCTAAAAGCAGAGCTGAGCCTTCCTTAGGACTGTAGCTTCTATTTTTAAGTGGATCTGTGATTCTGGGAGCAACTCAATCTGCCTGCCTGCTTTGCCTGATTTTGGGTAAAAGTTGCTCTTTTTTTATAAAAAATGCAATATTTACATAATGGTGTGTTGTGAGTTAATTTTGTGAGTTTGCTTGCAAGCAAATTTTATGTGTCAGACTCAGGTAGCAGATTGCAGAATAGTAGATCTCTAAGTGAATCTGTGATTCTGTGAGCAACTCAATCTGTCTGGCTGCTTTGCCTGATTTTGGGTGAAAGTCGCTTTTTTTTTTTATAAAAAATTCAATATTTACATATTTACAATATTTACATACAAGCCACGCACACCCAGTCACGTGACCACCAAGCCACACCCAGTCAGCAAGCCATGCCCACCCAGTCACATGACCACCAAGCCACACCCACAAATTAGGCCACGCCCACAGAACTGGTTGTTAAGAAATTTGAATCCCACCCCTGACTGTAATAAACCTAAGAATGCATGTATTTTCTAAAAAATACCACTCTTGTGTTTATTTAACTGATTAATAATTTAGTATTATACTTTTATTTTACAGGTCTGTGAGCACTACATATTTGAAGAATACAGGGAAATGCTCTCCTGTCCCAAGAAGTACATCTGCTCAATATTTAGGAACATTAAAGTTCTTGGACGACAAGCATCTACAAAAATACAGTGCTGAGCTAGATAAAGCGGATAGTTTACGAGCAGCTGTTTACCAGGTATATGTTTAGCATATTTAATATTATGAGAAAATCTGTCAAATTAGCAGTTTCGATTAGATTTAATTAGGTACCAGTTTTGGGGTTTCTCATATCTGTCAGATGATTCTCAGATTGGTGACTGTATACAATGAATGAATGAATGAAAAAACACTGGTATTTGGCCTTCCTATATTTCTTTTTTTTTTTTAAACAAAAAAGTGGCAAATTGTCTTAAATTTCTTCATTTAATGTTAAGTCATTTTTGATCCTATTAAACCACATAAAACCCCAAATATAATTCAGGAGCTTTGTTAGGTTAGACCGGGAGTTGGAAACGTGCAACCCTAGAGCCGCATGCGGCTCTTTGGGCCCTCTTCTGCGGCTCTCTGTTGGATGATCCCACCACTGGATGGCCCCACCCCTCATCCTCCCCTTCTCACACACTCCTCGCTTTCCCTGAGAAGAGAAGGGCAACAGCGGCAGATGGAGTCTCATTCTGTATTCCAGGGCGGGAGCGAAGCACCCCTCTACTTGCCTCTTTTTCCGGCCCTTGTTGGTGCTGTGCGCACCCCGGCTGCTGGGGGAGACGTGTGACTTTTCTCCGCCCCGAGACACTGGCTGGGCTGGCTTGCAGCCAATGCTCCATGTTGTAATGGGCTCCAGGAGGGAGGAGGAGGAGGGGATGGAGTGAAGTGCACTAAATTTAAGTGTGCTGCACAAAGCACTGCAAGAGCAGCGAGAAGCCGTGGAGCTGGCTGTGGTGGGGCTGGGAGGGTGCGCACGAGAGAAGAAGGAGGGGGGAGGAGGAGGCTTCCCTCCTCTCCCTCCCGCTCCTTCTCCTCTCATTCTTCAGTTAGCCCAGATTTCCAAAAGGAAGAAAGAAAAAGGGGTAGCGAAGAGCCCCAAGGAGAACACGCAGGGCTTTCTGAGAGAGTGAGAAGAGACACAGTCAGGGAGTGAGAGAGAAAAAGATACGGGGGGGGGGGGGGGGGAGAGATTCGGCTTTATTTGGCTCTGTCTGCTTCCCTCTCTCTGCCTTTGACCAGTTTTGCAAGGTTCAGGGGTGATCTAAGGTGGCAACCTCATAGTGCTGTGATGTCACTCCTTTTGCAATGCAACATTTTTTCTCTTTCCAGAGACAGAAAGAACGTGAAGAAAGATGGGGAGGGAGAGAGATGAGGGGGGGGG